TAGGGTTCACTGTTTCAGACTGTGGGGGAAGAAGAGATGTCCCCACCCTGAGACAGGGTCCTCTAACTCTCCAGATCATCCTCTCTTGTCATCTCTGCACCACACAGAGGCAGATTTTTTAGAATTATATTTAGGGAATTGAGGAAATGGTGGCTTGTGCAGTAAGGAACAGAATCACGTCCGTAGAGGACTAAGGAGCAGGTTCTGACAGCAACCAAGATGTTGATCACTAGGATGGAATGAAGAATCTGATGAATTCCTTTCTCTTACTCCTGTCATCCCCAGGAGATCACGTGAACATTGCCAGATATAATATTCCCTCGCTGCCTCCGCTTTTGGTCAGAGCACCTGGAGGTCCTCTTCTGAGCTGTGCAATTCAGGTGAGCAAACAGAGATTGTGGGGCACAGAGAGGGTCATGATGACAGGTTGTAGAAGGAGTGAGAAAGCCACCCCTCAGAGAAAAGCACCTGGACCAAATGAGATATATCATGTTCTCCCAGCATTTCTGGGAAGAATTTCCTTTTGGAGGCCCACTTTTGCCTCGGAGGATCCAGATAGCAGAGTCCCAGCTCTGTGCTGACGGCCTGGCTTCAAGCGGGAGTGGTGCAAAGGACTTGGGCTCACTGAGGTCAAAGTGAAGACTGTGAGGGTACTGAGCAAGTCACATTTCACAGAGAGGGTCCTGGAAATTCTAGCAAAGTCTCTGTTTTCTGTCCTTAGCAGGAGGTTTAAAAATAGTTAAAGATGTCTGGAGAGCAATGGCACTGTAGCGCAGTCAAGAGAAGATATTAAAGGTTTTTTTCCGAGTAGTGAGCTTCAGTTGGGAGGTACAGAGTGAGCCTGGGATCAATTAGGTCCATGTAAGGGTTTGTTGGTGGTACTCTCAAATCTGCCACCCAGAAGAAGATCTCAGAAAGTTCTAGAAAAGCCTGTTGTCTGCGACAGGTCCATCACTGAGCACCGTTCTCAGTAAAGTGCTCACTTTCTCCTCAATTCTTAATAGGGAGTCACAGCCTTATACTAAATCTTTGTTTGAGGTGGGAGGTGAAAAAGTTCTAGGATGAAGTAGATCAAGCAATCCTGAATAGAAGCACAAGTGTCTCAGGGGCGCACCCCTTTACCTCAGGGCACCAGTAGATGACTTTGGGAACCTGGGCCTAAGGAGTGCGGTTCATATGGGAGGAGCCGGGAGGAGCAGGGCAAAGTTACTTCAAGGTGAAGCCCTGAGGGGAGAGTGAAGAAGCCAGGAGCCAGGGAGAGGTTCCATATGCAACCTACATCTGCCACAGTTACAACTCAGCAACAGGGAAACCATGTGGGGGTACGGAGTGCAGTGCTGGAGGTGGGGATTGGCATTATCAGCCTGTATTGTCTCAGGGCCCTTGAGTGTAGAGACAGAACCTTGTTTTCAATGCTATGCTGGGTGTCTAGGCCACAGAGAGGACAGGACTCAGTCAGGGCCATCTTGCACATGATTTCAGCCACAGACCACATAGTTTCCTCACCCATGTGGATTTACTTGTTTACACACACACAGGACAGGACCTACAGTGAAAACATGATAGGTTTGTCTGCTGAGCCACCTTGGTTTTTTTTTCCTGCATTTATTTATTTATTTATTTATTTATTTATTTATTTATTTATTTTGTCAGTCAGCCTGCCCTGCATGCAGGGCTGTCCTGGCATGTTATGAGGGGGATCCAACTGCGGTCCCCTGTATCTGCCTAACCTTACCTAAGCAGGCGTGTTGGACAACTGACATATATGGGTAGTCCTGTGTCACCTTGTTTTGAGGTCAACATTGCAGGAGGGCTTAGAAGATAGGACTCCAGATTGATTGGGTTAAGTTGATGGGATGAATTGGGAGAGGAAGCCCCATCCAGCATTGAGATTCTGCAAATAACCTGTATCTGCTGTTCTTCCCAGTGCTGCACTGTGCAATGTATAATCTCAAGTGAGCACCACCTGTTGTCAGTAACTCCTGGGATTCAGAGTCTGGATCTTTGGCCTTTGCGTCAGATGGGAGCATCAGAGAGGTCCTGGGCTCAGGTAGGTCAGGTTCAGAAGGTGTGGTATAAACGTCGAAGCTCTGAGCCTGGTTAGGGTCCCCAGGCTCAGATGAATACATCGCTGCCTGTACTATCATACCAGTATCTGGGACATTCCTACCAGGACGCTCAACTTCTACACCCACATCCATGATGGCCTCTCTACCTGAGAAATTCCCAAGTGGCAGACACACTGTTCAAAAGTGGCACAGCGGGTTTGACATAGGACACAGGGTCCTGCTTTAGGAGGGTTCAACTTTAGGTGAGAGAAAGCACTGAGGACTCTAGAAAATGCCTATCAGTTCTGTAAAGGGCTGTGGGAGGCAACAACTTCAGTCAGCTTCTGTCATCACAGAGAGGCAAATGTGTCCTTTTGATGTCTCTCATCCATGAAAAGGGAGGAAAGAGAACCAGTGACTACTATAGGTGACCTCCTGAAAGGAGTAAGAAAATATGACCCAAGCCAGTCTATGAGCAATCCAGATCCCTCTGTTGTTGTTTCTGGTCCACAAAAGGCAGGCTTAGACAATGAGGCATTTCCTGGCTTCTCCCTTGAGAAGAAAAGGCATACTCAGTAAACAAGCATGCGAATGAGAGCACCAGGAACCATGGCCAGGTCTCAGGAGGAGGAATGAGGGCACCCACACCTCCCCACTAGAATAGACCATGGAGGCCTTCTCTGCCCCAGGTGTCAGGGCTGGAACTCCCTAGGTATGGAGACTGGGTGTGTGATCATCCAACTCTTCAGGGTGAGGCTGGGAAAATGGCACACTCTTCCTCTTGGATGAGGGTGACTGGCCCTCTGCAATACAGACAACCACAGAGATGATTGCCCATGCTCTTGAGTCTAGGGAAGCCCCACGCAGGGTTATTAAGCAGGGAATTCCTCACTTACACAGCAGGGTCTGTGGGACACTAGGATCTCTGTATAAGGAGAATGAAAGGTAAAAGTGATTATCTGCCCTGGTCCTCTTATAATGAGAATTATTTGCACTCTTGTCGAAGATAAGATGTTTGAGGTGCCTTGGTGGTATTTCTGTACTGGGTTTTGTTCCATTCATCTACCAGTCTTTATTTTATTTTTTTGCAGCATCATGATTTTTTATTACTGCAAGTTGTACTTTGATTTGAGATCAAGGATTGTCACACTTCCTTCCTGGCACTTGTTGCCTAGTATTGCTTTTATTATTCTGTTTCGAGACTGTGTGTGGTGGTGTGTGCCTGTAATCCCAGCTCTTGGGAGGTTGCAAATAGGTGTATCACTGCAAGTCTGATCTAGTAGTGAGACCCTGAACACCCTATACACCCTTCCATAAAATACAGAAACAAATGTAAGTTTCCTCTGGTTCTGTGTAAATTTTAGGGTTGTTTTCTAGAGTTCTGTGAGGAGTCCTTCTGAAATTTTGATTGGGCTCACATTACATTTCTACAATCATTTTATTTTATTTTATTTTATTTTTTTCAAAATTTTATTGATAAACAGTCTACAATCATTTTAGAATTATGACCACTTTTATGGTACCCTTTCCACCTGTCTTACAAAACATATTCCCTTTTCTGTTGTCAAATTCAATCTCTCTTTGAAGAGTGTTGTAGATTTCGTTGTGTAAGTCTTTCACATCATTAGTAACAGTGATTTTCACATATTTAATTTCTCTCAGTGACAGTTATTGTCACCTTGTTTCTTTATGGAATTAATTAGTCATGTATAGGAACACTATCCATCTCTATGTGTTGACTATACAATCCTCTCCAGAAGTTATTTTTAAATTGAATTTTCAGAATATTTTCTTGGATCCTTTGCAGTCTTCTATGTAGTAGATCAGGTTAACTCCAGGTCATGATGTAGATCCTTCTTTTTTATGTCAACATCTGGAAATCATTTATTAACTTGAGTCCTCTGAAATCTGTCTCATTTTTTGTTCTTGTATGTCTTTCTTTCATATACATGTGTTTTGATTTCTTTGTTTTACTTATGAATTTGACCTAAAAAGCTTTGTTCAAGATTTATTGGACCAGATCTCCATGTTCTGTTCTTGAATATTCTGAGAATGTTTTGCATTTCATCCCTTTTAGTATGGGATTTTTTTTTTTGATATCTCAGGATGCCTTCAGGGTAGGTCTGGCAAGGTTTGAGGATCTGGGGATCCAACCACAGCATCCTGAGGCTGACTGCTTTGTTTAAGCAGTCACTTAAACAACTGAGCTAATGGGCCGGCCCTCTCATCCCTTTCAGTATGAACTTGGTCATTGCCTTACCACAGATTCCACTGAAGAGATTTGGATGAGTGCCCTATACATACTCCTTTCAGAATTTTCATGGTAGCTGCATGCATGATTTTGTCAATTATATATTCTGTAGGTATTGAAATGCTCCTATATATTGTGTCCTGGATTGTCTTTATGGTTTTCATTCAGGGACGTTTCTTGTGGCCTCCTTTAGCACCTATAGGAGCCAGTGGTGAAGGACTAGCTGGGGTTCAGTGCCATCATTTCATCCATCAGAATAAACACCGTACTGGATTGGAGGTGAGTTGCATACCTTGCTGTGAACTCAGGGTTATCTCTACCTGAGAAAGGACTCTTCCTAGTCTCCAGGCTTCCTATGGCACCCGGTCTTCCTTAGAGCCTTGTCCTATGATCTCTACCTCAGCATGCACACAGCTTCATTTGGTATCCCAGGATCATGGAGACTGGAGCATGTGAAGCCCAAACATCCCCTAGAGGGAAGTCACGAAATGGGTGTTTGTGGCAGGCAACAAGTGTGTGATTCTGAGCTAGGGACATGAAAATTCCCCATTTCTCCTCCAGACATCTAAATCCTAAACAAGGTCTTGCTGTCTCCACAGAATAGCATGATGCCTCATGGTCAGGGAAGCCCAGAGAGAATCCTTGGGGAAGTCCATCCTGATCAGAGAAGTGCACAAGGCCTCAGTCTTGTGCAGTGTCACATGCATGAAGAGGAACCAGCAGCTACTGATTACTCTACATCCTCTTCCTCCTGTGCTTTAGTGGGAGACACAGCACAAGAAGAGCCTGGGCGTGTGACACCAAGCAGTCCTCAGATTCCTCGTGGTGTCTGCTCTCCTCCAATTGCCATGGCTTCCAGTGAAAGCAGTCAGTGCCATGCGGGCTCCAGCACTGAAGAAGAGGAGGGTGCAGGTCTGTCCCAGGACAAGGATGCACGTCAGATGAGGATCGATGCATTCAGAAAAGATAAGTTAGATAAGATTGTGCTACTTCTGCTTCAGAAGTATCAAAGGAAGGAGCAGATCACCATGGAAGAAGTGGTGCACATGGTGGACCACGATTCCCCTGATGACTTCCCCGTGATCTTTAGGGAAATCTGTGAGTGCATGCGTCTGGATTTTGGCATTATTTTAAAGGAAGTGGATTCCAGGGCCCACGCATATGAGCTTGTCTCTACCCTGGGCCTCACTTATACTGGGATACTGGATGACACTGACCAAATTATTCCTAAAGCTGACCTCTTGATACTCATCTTGAGTTTGATCTTCCTAAGGGGCAACCACGTTAGTGAAGAACACCTTAAAGATACTCTGAGTCATAAGAAGATATTAGCTGAGAGACCATGCATTGCTGTTGAGGATGCCTGGAAATTCATCAGAGAGGATTTGGTTAGGGCAGAGTACCTGGTGTACCAGCAAGTTCCCAACAGTGATCCTGATCAGTATGAGTTCCTGTGGGGTCCGAGGGCACTTGCTGAAACCACCAAGATGAAAGTACTAGAGCATGCCATCATGCTTGATGAGGAAGCCCCCAGGGCTTGTCCATACAGAAGCAGCAGCCATTGAGTAAGACAAAAGGCATGTCTAGGGCCTCTGCTGGGCAAGATGAGTGACAGGTACAGGGAGTTTTCCAACAGTAAGTCACAGACTTGGTTTCCAGACCACAGGGCATGAGGTCACATTTTATTTTTTGTTTTGGGAGAAGAGGTAGTTTTCCAAGAAATGAAGTAGCACAGCTGCAGTAAAATTCCACACAAAGAATCTTGAAGTCTCTTCTTGTATTACTTAGTGATCAAGATGTGTTTCATTTATGCTTTTGAAAATCTTGTTCTTTTTCAGAGATTAATGTCACATGAAAATATGATTTCAGAAATTATTGTGATGTCATGTGTGTTTTCTTTTTCTGATATTACTGGTAAATTGTCAATTGTGATGTGAGCCTGATTTTAGTTGACATTGATTAGAAATCAATTTTGCTCATTTAATGCAAGTATAAGAGAACTTTTGTTTGAACGAACAGAAATATTTTTATTTTGTGATGGTAAATATGTTTGGCATAGAAATTTTCTTTATAATGTAGAAGAAATTGACTTGAATTTAGATTGTACCTAGAAATAGGTATACTGATAAAATCACTTCTTTGATTTTTCTTTTTCTTTAGTGTGTTACTCTATCGTGTGTGTGTGTGTGTGTGTGTGTGTGTGTGTGTGTGTCTAACTGAAATTGCTTGGATTCTTCAGTTATATTGATAAAATGACTTGTAAAAATGAATCACATTAACTCCTGGTCACCGTGATCTAAAAATATTTTCTTACTAGTGGAGAAATTTACTGTAGAAAAGGACTAGGGAATACAACTGGAGGACTGTGGATTGAGAACAGCTCCCCAAAAGAAGAGGGATTCCAAACACTATTAGTACAAATCTAATAGTTGTAGTCTTCTCACTGAATTAAGAGAAAATAGCTGTATTACTGTCCTATTTTGTGTATACAGATACAATAGTGAAGAATTAGCCAGGATCCTTTGATTTAGGCAAAGTCTTACAGATAGGAATGGACGTGTAGGTGCTTTATTTTTTTTAATTTTTTTTTTTGGTTTATTTATTTATTTATTTATTTAGTGTGTGTGGCCAGCTCAGCCCACCAGGGGGCGGGGCTGGCTGGCATGTGGTGCTGGGGGATTGAATCACCGTCCCTGTGCTTTGCTTAATTTAGCTTAGTTTGTTCTAAGTAGGTGCTTTAGACTACTGAGCCATCTCACCAGCCCGTGTAGGTGCTTTAGAGTAGGAAAAAAGTAGGCATTAGGTGTGCCCTGATGGAGGGTTATGGGTATAGGGAAATGGAGGCACGCTAACTGGAAGCATAGCATCCATTATTACGATTAAAAGTTCATATTTTTCTGTTTGATCCAAAATAAGATAACATGTCTGTATCTTGTACTCGGAATAACTACTACCAAGACAATATGCCATGTATTAATTACTGTAATTGTCCTACTAATATATTTTAAAACTGTCTCACTGCTTTTTGTTTCTCAATAAAATTAATAAAAAAGAAATGTCTGAACAAATAAAAAAGATGGATTCCAAGTGTCTTGCTCAATATCCTACCTCCGAAAAGAATTTTTATGAAGCAAAATAATGGGTCACATTATTATAAACCAAAGAGATTTCAACTATTATCACTTAAGCAATAATGATTGCAGTGTAGCAAGGGCAGATGAATGACATCATTAACCATGAACAATAATCTATTGTCTCAGTCTTGTCTTTAGTCTTAGCCGGCATCATTTTAATCTCAGTCTTTGCCCCGGTGGTGTAACTCTTAGCAGGCTGCAAAGGATATTCCCGGCAAAGTGATCATGGAAATTCTCCAAATGGTGATGCCAGCAATTCCCAGCCTCTGCTCATCCATAAGGAAGTAAGGAAGACTAGCCATTGGGAGTTTCGTCCTCAGATGTGCCTCCTGCTGCATCCGTGATGGACTGTGATCTCTTACAGGGCCCGGCCATATCAGAATGCACACTGTACTTCTCATTAACTTAGCTGTCTACAGTGTTTCCTGCTGTGAGGAGGTATATCCACCTGGAGCCAGGGGAGCACCAGTGTAGTTTCCATGCAGCTGCTCCAAGTGGAGAAGTATCAGTTGAAGGGAAAGCACAGTCAGAGACCTGCTCCAGACAGCTGATCTAAGGGACCTCAGATAGACCTCGTGTTATGGTTTAGCAGCTATAGTCTGTTCATAAGGTGATCCAGGGGATGCAGGAAAGGAAATCTGGCACATATTCCATTGCTTCCATCTGCATGGTCACTGCGATTTAGGCATCGTCTAGGCCAAAATAAACAAATTTTCCTCAGTATTATAACAAGTATGATCAAACCACAAGCACTAGAATGGAAAGCCAAGTTTGGGAAAGAGCCACATCAGAAACTGTTCTTGAGGGACTGGAAGAGCGCTGGTACTCAGTTGGCTCTTAGAGCCCTCCACTTGTAGAAGACTTTGTAATATAGCCATGAGAAGATGGAGAGAATAAATTTAGAGACTATCATTGTGCTTTTATTAATTGCACTGCAGCTTGTCTGGCTTAAGTCAGCATAGTAGCCAGCTATTCCTGTGTCTGCAAAGGTTCAGAAGGGCATCAGTGATTACAGCACTTTTTATAAATAGCTCTTTTTAGTATGGCATTATTTTTGTGCATCATTAGTTATAATTACATGCTGAATATTTTAGACCAAATTCTAAGGAGATGTGTGTTCATCAGTACTAGCCTC